GCTGGGGAAGTATCTCTCCTGTAGCCCAAAGGTATTTGTATGTCACAGAAGTACAGTAAAACCCTCTAAACCAAGTACTATAGCTCTGGTGAGAGAATAAGGCATCCTGCGTGGTGGTGAGCAGTGCTGTGACCTACAGAATGATGCTGGGGAGAAGAGGGGTGAGGGCCACGTTTGTACCCACAAGGGTACGTTCGTACTCAGGAGGGTAAAAGAAAATGCCTCTATTATGTAGCTAAGAAGTCGGCTTAAAGGAATAAAGGCACCGGGGCTTCTTGGGCAGCTGACGGAGCTCGGGAAGGGTTTGATCCCGACACCTGGGGAATCTCCAGGTGAACATGCCATGAACAGACCTGGAGGGATGGACCTTGACTGGGTGCTCCGGGAAGGAGCCTGGCCAGGGCAGCTGTGGCAGTGCACCCATGGAGGAGGGAGGCGGGGGGTGGCCGTGGGGTACTGCTGGAAGGACAGGGGATTTCAGAGCTACGAGGCTTTGCTTTTGCCATCAGGTCTTGGGGATCTTGGCTTGAGGGGGTGAAAGTCTGCAGAAGCAGAAGATTCCTTCTGGTGTGTGCGTCTCTTCTTGCTGCTCCCTGTTAAAAACATTTAAGATACAGATCCTGATGCCGCGTCCGTGGTGAATGAGCCTCACGGACTCTGAGGTATTGCAGCTATAATAAATAAGCAACTGGGAGCATTTTTTTTCCCTGTGAATTACTGCCAGCTGTGTGAGGCTTTGGTTTTTGTACTCTGTCTCCCACTAAATACTGGATAGTCAACAAAATTAAGATTACCATCAGGGATCTTGACTAATGCAGGGATTATTGTTGTGGGGGTGGCTGTTTGCATCCAGAAGCATAACTCTCTCTGCTTGATCTGTTACTCATTAGGGTCTAAGGTGTCTGTGTATCAGCAGCCTTATATTTTAAAGGGAAAAAGGGGAAGCTGCCTTTGAGGTAGAGAGGCAGAGGTCTTGTGAAGAGGTGGGAGTAAACACTGAGGGTCTTGGGATAAAGGTGTCCTGCACGTGATGCCATTAGCTGGGGTTAAATCCATAGGTGAAGGGGGTCATTGGAGACTACAAACTCCACGGCCTCGCATTGCAGCGCGTCGCTATCTCGTGTGACGCGGTCCCGGCCCCACCATTGCTGGCAACGCCGCCGGATCGCACAGCGAGCAGGAAATACCAGCGAGGAGCCCTTTCTCATGCTCCCGCCGGCCGCCCTTGGACGGCTCACAGGGAGCAGACGTTGGGAACCGGCGCAGCCCGGCCCCGCTCCGTCTCCTGCCTCTCCTTCCCCCAGCGCTGCCTTCGGACGTGAGCGGCAACTTGGGCGAGCCAGACTGTCCCCGCCGGACCTGCTGGGCTGCCTGGTTTGTTAACAGGGCTACCACTTGCTGAGCTGAAGCCTGCAGCCCGAGCGCGCTGCGGAGCACTAACGGTGGCATTTGATGCCGGCCAGGTGAAATGGATGTTGACGCATCTCTGCCGGGAAGCTCGTAGCCCATCTGGAGACCAGAAGGCTGTCCTCCCCCAGCGGCTGCGTCTCAGGCCGCATAAGTGACCCCCAAGATAGTTCCTAAATACAGGTGCAGATACCGTAACGGCGGGGG